TACGCCTATTCGCCGACTTTTTCGACAAATATCCAGAATATAGCCTCATCTGATGTGATAAAAATACTTTAAACGCCAACTTGTTGGCAGTTTTTAACAGAACGAAAGCAATCACAGTCATTGCCCTTTCGCACAATTCACTAGCCTAACTGGCTGTGGAAACCAATATCCTTTCATACAGCACTATTTGCTTTCCTGACAATTTTGATACCAGAATTATAAAAAAAAAAAAAGTTTGTATTTTAAATATATTTCCAGGCGGCCAAAAGCCCGAGTTCATAGCTTTACCTTTGGCAGTTGCTCCTGCTGAGGTACCTCTCTGAACAAAGCTCGTGCTTGATAGTAGTGGTATTGTGGTCCTTAAATTTCTTGAAAGTACCGACACAACAGAGTGCCATTCTGTGTTAGAGAAGATGCAGCTAGACTACAGTGTAGTCTAGAATCTTGGCCCATCGGCGAAGCTCTCTCAGAAATCGATGGGTCCGAACTACCTACCCCACGTGCGGTTTCTCTTTGTACCTTTTCTGTACGGTCCAGACTGCAGCAAACTAAACGAACGTGACTGCCACCGAGGATCAAAGCAAAATGTTAAGTGACACACACACATCAAGCGAGCGAACCCGGCTTTTCTAAGGAGGCACGCACGTCTCGAGATAGCGTATTCAAACCTTCGAACGACCCCAGACACAAGTAAAAACCCAGTCCGAAGTCCAAGTTTATCCATTTGCTGAGGGCTCTCTCTTTTCGGGGCCGACGGAGAATGCTCGTCTGCTAGCCATAGCAAAATTTTAGTCGAAGCCACCCCGCAGGGCATAATCCGGTTCTCAAAGCCGTCAAAGGGATTCTTTTCAACACAACTCGCCCCCCACCCCTAAAACTTTTTTTCTTTCCTTTTCCCGTTGCCGCTTCGTTTATAGCAAACTACGCTACAAAGTGACTAACGCGAAAATGTTAATAAAAACAAATATTAAACAGCGGAAACACAATAAAAAGACTTTTCCCCCGTCCACCCAGAACCAAAACGAACAAGAAACACGAGAGGTGGCCAGTGTGCCTCGATTACAGAGTGTTTTCAACTGCTCGTTCGTGATCACGTGGTTTCTGAGCCGCGTTTGCTATACGGGGTGGCGAGATAACAAAAGCGCTGATCGTCTACAAGCGTTTCCGCCCGCTTTCCTACTTGCCACGCGGCAACGCGACGAATTTTTGACCAATCCGGACACTAGGCGTACGGCACTAAAACTCAGACCCCTCCCCGTGGTCTGAGTTGCCCCACCTCTTAAATCTAGGCTCTCTAGTGGCGGTCAGTCTAGCGAAAGTACAGTACACTACTACCCCACGCCGAAGAGAGATTCCCGGCTCAGACAACAATGCGCAGCAAATCTGCTCGCTTCTTCGGTCTGACACTTTGCCACCTTTCAGGCGAAATAAAAAAAAAAAAAAAAAAAAAAAAAAAAAAAGGGAAGGCCAAGACAAGCTGGAGCGAGCCAAAGCAAAAGCCGCCCTCCTTTTATGTTGTCTGCAAGTTGTTCAACGGTTCGAGAGAACCTGCCAAGGTAAAATATTAAATAAATAATAATACGAATATTAACAAAATAAATAAAAACGGTTGGTTAGTCAACGACCAACTCGGCGAAAAAAAAAGAAAAGAAAAAACGGTGTCACCTTGCTATGCATTCTCAACCGTGACTTGTTCGTTGGACACAAGACAGAAAAAACGTATCGTTTTTATTTTAATGCGCGGATTTATATCGTTAAACCTGTGCATGTTCTCTCCGTCGTTCCTGTTCTATTAGCTCCGTATTTCTTTATATTTCTCACGAAGCAGACAATTGGCATCTCAATGCAGGTTACGACAGAGTGCCCGAAGCCGCGTTGAAGCAGCACAAAGGCATACTTGGCGTCTCTGGTTTGCGGCGCTCATTTCGACCAGAGTCGGTGAAATAATGGTGATTACCATTATACTAGTATATCTCTAAAAGCAAATCGAATTAAAAAAAAATCAGTAAGGTAAAAAAAAAGCAAAACAAATAACGTTCAAACCACCTTTCAACCAACTTAAAAAAAAAAAAAAGGGAAAAACTTCTGTTTGATGGAAAGAGATTTCTATAGAGTTTTATTGTGCGTTGACACGGAACACAGTCGGCACTGAACTGTCCGCCGAGACTAGTTTCTGCTGTTAATACGCCGAAGCCAACCATTTCAAATATTAGCAAGGATTAATACGCATCAGAAAGGTTGACATATACTAATTTTTGTTTCTACATGTCTTCAGAGTCCTGAATCGCGCGAAATGCCAACCAGGAAACGCCGTTCGGTTCACGTGGCCAACAAACACACCTTCCAGAAATGATGTAAACGTGGAACACAAGCCAAACGGATATCAAGGGGGTCATGTGGCGGCGATACGCAAGAGGCCGCTTTTCTTCCGTCCCGAACTTCCTCGTAACGCTCATTGTGACGTAACGGTCACTTTCCTCGCCAAAAGATGAGCTGCCACCACCAGGACATCATTTTGGCCGTTGCGCCTATTTTTCTTTGTGTATGTCGCCGTTGTCCCTTTCACTCGGCCAGATCACTTGTGATGCAACAGACCGCTCCACCTTTCTTACCATTTGCGAGTTATAAGACATAAAAAAAAAGGAAAAGGAAAAGACACGGTAACACATGATACAGCAAAAATAAGGTTCAAGCGCACGACATGTATCCTTCCGCCGGAAAGTAGTCCGGTCGCTGTAGCTCCGAAAGTGCGCCGACAGTCGGGGAAAAATCCGTGAAGCAAACGAGATTTTGCTTCAGCAGTAAGAGAGCACAGACTAAGAAATGAAAAAGAAGAAATGTGTAACGTTAAATCTAAAACGCGAGCGACCGACATTAAAAAAAAAAAAAAAACAGAAAAACACATATCTAGCGGCCATCTTCTATGGAGGGCATTCTTGGGGATCACGACGCCACACATCTCAGGTCCCTGTGTGCCAAAGCCAGTCCGTCATGCCAGAAAACAATCGCAACTGGTACTTTATCTCGCGGTCTCCTCTCCCTCAAGACACCACTTGATGCGACTTTCCCAAACCAGTTCGCTGTGCCGTCTTTTTTCGGCGATAAGTAGACAATAAAACTGCTCCCAAGAAACAAAACAAACGATCACGGATGTGGGCCTCTCTGACCTTCTGCGATGGAGGGGAGGTCAGGGTTGGCGACCGCACGAAAAAAAAAAAGCGGTTGAGTTTTGGGGCTAACGAAATGGTAATAGCGATGCTACGAAAAGAACAAGCGGTGGGCTCGACGACGACGCCGTAGCAACAGAAATCCTACCGCAAATTCAGCCCGCATTGCGCCGAATAATTAAATTCCTCAAGGCCTGCTCGCCATTTAAAAACGGCTGATACGATAGGAGGTAGGTAGCAGATGTGAGCTTCGCAGCTACAAAAGGAACAGAAAAAAGAAAAAAAAAAAAAGCGGGCGGCGAAAGGAAAGCGAAAACGCATAAAGGAGAGATCTGCGAAAGCAGACGACGGACGCCTGCGCGCGAAACAAAAACTAGCAGACGACAAAAGAGCCAGAGAGCACGAAAAGGAAACCGGAATCACCGGGACGCGTCTAGTTACGTCAGATCCGGCCCGCTTTTCGCCCGGTCACGTGACCGGCGGCCGGAAAAAGCCCGCTAATATCAAAGCGGCCGATCGAACGGGCGAAAGCACTCCCGTCCATTCCGCTCTAATGACGCCTCGCTCGCCCGCCCTCGCTGACTCATCAACGAAGAAGTACGAGGCTCTTCTCCCCAGCGGCCCCGCATCCGTAATCGAGGGCAGAAATCTAGGCGCCCCCGTAATCGAAACGCAAAGCAGACGACCAAAGTGCAAAACGGAAACGCCGATCGCACGATGGGCGGAAAAGAGCGACGGCGTCAGGGTTAGCGCTAATCCGGTCAGGCCTAAAACTACGAAGCAACAAAAGAATGAAAACGCATTAGACAACCATCCAGCAAACAGCGGCGACTGCTCCCGCTGTTCCTAAATCTCCAGCGGGCCATCGATTGGCCCCGCATTGCTACTAGATCCCAGCACGCGCGTTTTTCTCAAAATCCAATTTTCTCTCCGCCATTTGCCAACCTCGCTTGGATGGACCCCCTTTTTTTTCTTTCGTGTTGTCTAGATCTTGCCCGCCCTGTTTGCGCTATCCGCTTTTTGATGGACACGCCCGCTAGAGATTCCGGCACGAAATTTATACAAACATTCCACAACAAAATAGCAGACGAAACAAAATGGCGGCGGCCGAACGCAGTGTTGCTAGAGTGGCCTTTGAAAGCACGGCTTGTTCTAGACTAAAGAAAAGCAGCGCACATAAAATCCGTAAGAATCGATGAAAGTGCGAGTGGGGTTTAAACAAATAAAAATTATAAGAGATTTGTTTGAGCGCACGAATGTTTAAACGGCACTTTAAGGAAACACTAAAAACACCAGAAGGGACATAAAAATGCGCAAAAACAAGCTCATAACTATTGCAGTCAGGAGGAGGAGGAAATAAAAAGCATTTCGTTAACTTTTCATAGTAATAAAATAATTCCTAATGTAAAAGCAACCGCCGAGCACAAATTATTACCATAGCAAAACGGGTAAACTAAAATGATTCAAAACGGTACTGAACCAGGAAAAAAAGAAAAAAAAAAAAAAAGCTAGATTTGAAATGGCTCCAGACACTGGCCTGACAATTCACAAAATTGCAATGCTTCCAACCTTCATACTTTGTGACCCGCAAACGATACCTCTCAAGCAAAGACACATTGCCACTGCCACATTCGTGTTGTCGCCATGTCACGCACTCGGATCTAAGGTATGACAAAACCGCAGTAAAAGGGTCATGCGAAAACCCTAACAGCTAGGGAATTCTTAGCAGTTTTAAAACAGAATTCATTCCAATGAAGGCCACAGGAATTGACGTTGCAAGCTTGCGTCAGAACAACTATGACGCAGCTCGAATCGACGAAGGATCACACACAGTTAACATGGAGGCCCTTGTATTTATATCAAGGTAGCAAGAAGACAAAAGTAGAAACAGGTGCAGAACACTGACAATGAGGTGGCATCATTCTTTTTACATACGACTTTGAAAGGCAAGGCTTAACCAACGAGGCGGTAGGAGATGTATCTTCCTGCCGTTTCACTGGGTCGGATGATTTTCACCACCTGGCAAAAAAAACAAAAACACTTGAACATGTGCCACAACAGCAACATGCGCGCACATAAATCGACTGCGCACACACCTAAGCTTATGAAACGCCACTGCATGTCAGACTGCATTGAGATCCCGCCCACACCAGCAGATGCAGGATGTGACAATGTTCCTTTGCTGAGACCGACAGCATGTAATCGTCAGCATTGTAAAATGATCGCCAAATGTGCGTGAGGTGGTCGGTTTTAGCTTGTGAAAATTCAGGGTGCAGTTCTCTTCCTGTAAAAAAATGAGGCCGACAAACTTGCCAGAGTCAAAGACGGACTTTGCAGATGACCGGGTTAGTGATGGTTGTAACTCGTAGCACCACCTCCACGTAGATGCAGCGAGCATACAACAGTGTGTGTCGTCTGCTCACTGTACCAATACAAGCTTGCACTGACGTTACTTGGTCAGACGTAATGGGGGAAAGGGCACGTGAGAGCGTAGCTTCCACTGCATTAACGAGGCACTTCTGGCCACCAGAAGAAAGGGCGGACTGACTTCATGCAATGATGGAAGCGACATTTGACGTTTTGGAGCAGGTTCTGTAGCAGGCAAAATATTGGTTTGGAGCAGCTACTGTCGCTTTTGGAGCAGATGCCAACGTCTGTTAGCATCTCTTTTGTAAAAAAAAAAAAAAAAAAATTTGTCTGCATCGTTAAACGAGTTTATATTTAAAAATGGCTGAGGATTTATCTTTGATACTGGAGCATATTACTTGTTACCCTTTGTAATAAGAACAAATAGGGTGCAAAAGGTACACAGAGCTTCCTTTTTAGAAATAAGGCTCTGGTCAGAGTAGCTTCCATTTACAATGGATACTAAACAAATTGATGGGAAATGAATCACACCAGTTTGGGTAAAGCCTCCCTCCGCTCCCACTTTTACACTAGATAATTTATTTAGCCTGTATGTATGATTTCTGCAAAATTCCACCAATGTCACTACTGTGTGGTGCACATTAAAGACCCCAGGCTAGCGGTTGTACCGCACTGGCTAAATTGCTCATCTACAGCCGAGACACCGGACACCCACTGAGGCAGAGTAACTTCCGGCGGTATAAACATACAACAATTTGCTTTGATTTGCCACCAACATCCAACACAATCGCTAACACGTCTATCAGTAAAATGCGCCTACCAAATTCTGTCGTAACCAAAACTCAAGACTTGAATATTTTAAACTGGAAAAAAACCACCCACAAATATCATGAAAACCTACTCTTGCACTTACATTCATTCAAATCGAGCACAGCATATTTCTTTTTCTTTCTTTCTCGACGCAGCAATTGAAAACGAGATCATATAATCGAGACCAAAAAATGTGGACCTGCAATAGTACTGAGCATGATTTACATGCATATCTTGCTAAACCAGACCAGACGCTCACCCACGCTGGCCGCTACTCCTAGCACTCCGGTGCAAGGCAGTGAAGCTCGACGCGCTTGGGCTGGGGAGAGGCGCCACGGAAGCATACGGCAGACGTAATCAAGTGATCTCACCAGGAGTACAAGAGCCTGGTTCTGTCTTATCGCAGTAGCCGCCACCCTACTCTTTTGCAATGTTTTCTCGCGACTTTTGGCTCCTCACATCGCTGACATAGTCTGAAAGTTTGGAGGATGTCGGCGATCGAGCCGCCAGCGCATTAACCGGGCAGCGCAGTGGACGAGCAATGTTAATTTCACCATAATTTAAAGTGCAGCCGACGCTATGAGCCAATGGGATCAACCAAAGAACGTCAAAGAGCGACAGAGAGACATTCGACCATCTTCATGTAATTGTTTTTTCATCGATTAAACCAATCAAATGCAGCGAATATCCCGTGACTTGCGCTTTTACTATGCGTGTTCGTGATGTATGAGTTTGAGCCTCCGACTGTGCTCTGACCTAAGATGAAGCAACGTATACAGTGAGTAGAGACGCAGCAAAATACATATCCCTACCGTTTTCTTTTTTCTTTCTTCCTACTTCTTTGTTGAATATTAGGGTCAACCAATAAAAAAAATATATATACATTTTTTTTGTTCTGCCCATTTCGGCGCAGGTGTGGCACAATTTGGCGCAAGATGTAGCAGACGTTCGCTCACGGCGCAATTCGGCACAAATGGCGCAGCACTTCCATCACTGCTTCATGTGTAGGCTACGTATCGGGAGATGGTGCTACAAGTTACAACCGTTGCTAACTCAATCGTCTGCAACGTCCGCCATTGACCTTGGCAAGTTTGTTGGACACAATTTTTTACTTTTTACAGGAAGAGAACTATGCCTTGAAATTTCACAATGTAAAACGCACCACTTCAATGCAGACTCGGTGCAATTTCGAGCTTTCCGTGCGCAGGCAGATTTTTCTGGCTCTCTTTACAACGTAGGATTAACTGTAGGCACCCCATGCATTGAGAGTTGACTTCGAATGGAGTTGACCAGAAAGGCTCCATATACTAAGCAGACAATGAAAGTCTCCTGCCTTGCTTAAAGGGAAATAAAAAGGCATCACTTTCTACAGGTTGTTTCCGAGCGCTAGTTGGGTGCAAAATTTTCTATAAATAAACCAACAAACGTGTGCATTGAAACTTTTCGTTTCAATACACTCAAAATTAGTGAGTGTAGGTTTCATGGAAAAAGAAATTGAAGCCTAAAAAGAACTAGTTTTCTATATGCAAGAAGGAAAACGGCAAGAACTGCCTGGTTCGCACTGCAACTCACAGGTGGCACCACCCACGCCCGGATCTACTGGATCTGCTTTCAGGTTTAAATGCCTCACCTAAAGACACCTTCTTGAAAAGTTTCCTTGAACTCAATTCATTGGTTTATTTATATGAATTTTTGTTATGCCCAAATAACGCTCTGAAATACCCTGTACACTATAGTAACACCTGCATAATTTTTTTTTTGTGCTTTATTTGGGAAATGATCTCTGTAGCACATTGCTTTATAATGCATATTCCTTATGTCATACAGTACCACATCTGAAAAGTCTCTTTTTCATCATGTGAAAATCCTCTCTTGGAGGACTTCATTGACATTCACTGACACATTCCGCAAGATGGCTGCTGCATACTTCCACCGCTAGACATAGACTCAATAATGGAGTCTAGGGTATTTCACAAAACAAAATAAACTTTCCAATTTCGAAGCTAAGCTCGGGCTTAGTCCCCGAAGCTACCCTGCCTTTTCCTTCGCCCTGGGACCACAGTTAGCCGCACAAATAAGGAATGCATCCGCATGGCCGCCTTGGCAGCGACAAGCGTCTCCACGAAAACAACAGTGGTCTCACCTGTCCTCTCTTCAGGCCAAAGTACCGCGCCACAGGATCGCAGGCTTGGATCTTCATCAGGTGGTTCTCCTTCAGCTTGCTGGTTACCAGTCGGTCAAGGTCGTCTTTCACTGATGCAAACCAAAAGTTCAATGCAAACAAACCAATCTTGCCGGACACAGCATAGAACTTGGCAGAAACACGAGTTGCTTCGGTTCAGGCGGTTTGTGTATTCGGGTGGGCAACACGGGAGTCGACATCAGGGCTATGTGGCGCAAGCTACCGCCCGTTATGAACGGTACAGACGTTAGCATCCATCCGGTGCCCGTTCGTCCGAGAACTTAGAGGGCTACAGGATAAACAATGTTTTTCCTTTCTATTTCAAAGATATTCTTTCAGGAACGCTGACAGTGGTTCCTGAAAGACTCCGCTGTCGCTCGTTTTCCTATAGTGATGACTTTGCAATAGCAAGCAGTGGGTGTATGTACGCCCAAGATCCAGCTTGATTGACGTACGTTAGAACACAGCTGCCTGGCATGGCACCCGCAGGAGCACAGAAGGCGAAACTAAGAGGCAGTCTCCACTTTCCTAGCCAACTAATGTCCAGTGTGAAACAGCGCGATCCTTACAATGGCGCTATCTCCATTCTACCTTACGATGAGCAGAAGACAATGCTACGAGCCATTAAAGCCAATCCAATGCTGCGTTAGTGTCACACGACCTTTGGGAGGAGCACATAGTCACATTGCGATACTTTTGCGGCACTGGATTGATTGGAATGGCTTGTAGTGTCCGTTGCAATCCCTTGTAAGGTGAAGTAAAGTACAAGTGAAAACTGCATTTATTAATGAGCCATTTTGAAAAAACAAATTCTTGTATAGTAAGCATCTCTAGATGAACCACACGGCATAAAATAAAAACTTTTAAACATGTATAATCCGAGGGCTATAATCCGGAAAATAAGCCATCTTGATATTAATTTACAAAATTGCCCTAGATACAAGTATGTTTACTTCAAAGGTATTCTTTTCCTTTCATAAATGGTTTTCAGATGAAATACCAGATTAGAAACCAATTTTGTAACAATTATGATGCAGCTTATTTCGACATTATACCTGGAAAAAATTGCGAGGGACACTGAGATACCTCCCCCGGTAAACTCATTTGACGAATATAATATGCAAAACCTAAATCATACTGAGTTTGTAATTACATTTCAAAGCCTCGGACATTTGGAAACAATGTGCATTGGCTTTGTAGACAGCACCTGTTCGAGTTCAGTCCAAGAAATGAGCTTTGTAAACGGTCTTGGATGGCAGTGCATACCGGCCTCTCTTTACTGGGTTTGCTCACCCTAGCCAAAATGCTTTATACAAAGACACTTCCTCCCACAATAATAAAAATTGCGTTTTTGAAAAAAAAAAAAAAATCTTTTGACAGCAAAAAGTTGTCAATTTAGATTTATCAGAAAAACTAAGAATTTCAAGGTCAAAATGGCCTCACAAAAACAATACCACTTTTCCATGGAAATTGCTGCTTCAAGATGAGAAAAAAAGGAAGAAAGCTTCCCAGAGACTGCTTTTAGCAGTTTACCGATTTTTAAAAGCTGATGTATCGTAACGAAAATACCCCTTTTTGCAAGTTTCGTCGGGTGGCCGTTAGCGTCAACGTTGTAAATGTTTCGCGCGACTAAAACGGTTCTCAATGTTTTTGATGCGTTTGAGCCTGTACATCGTTTCTTTTTATTGGAAGCTTTGTGGGGAATGCAGCAGAGCTGAATTTTAGGCAATAAAAATTATACAAAAACATAATCCGATTAAACGAGAACTCCAAAAAGCACCCTACAAATTTTGATAAATATAAGCTAAGAATACACGGAACCCTACGTACAGTGAAATACAGCGGAAACGCCCACTACGTACAAGCGCCCGCTATTAACATTTTCCAAACTTGGGAACTCTGCAAATTATACGTCGAGTGCCCGATTTGGTCGGACAGGCGCCCATGTCTTGATTAACTGAGGTTTCAGTGAAGGCGAGGTGGGTACTGCCCCGGTGCGTTACGGTATATGTCGTACCAACGGCACCTGGACTGTCACTCCCTAAGATGCTTTAGATGAAACATTTGTGTTGGGAAAGGTCAGGACCGCAGTGTCTCGAAAACTCAAGATCGAGGAACAAGGGTATTTTCAACGATGGTTTTGGACCTCCTTGTGTGTCGTCCCCATTTTTTTTGTTCCTCAGTCCTGTGTTTTCAAGATGATGAAAGTTCATCAGCTCACCTCCATGATCTCCGTTATTTCGAACTGAGCCCTTCTTTTACTCGAGACTTCAGAAAAGATTTTGGAAGAGTGTCAGCGGGAAAGCAAACTTGTTGCAGTTATAGAAGTTACTCAATATTTTACCCAAGTTAAAGAGACAGCTACTAAAAAATAAAAGTACCTAGGTTTGTACCTGAGACACACAAAAAGTACCTACAGTATAGACCACTTACAACGTAACCGCTTATAGTGCAGGACCAGGTATAACGCGGCTTTTTTAAACCACCGGTTCGCCTCCCATAGAACTCCATGTAATTACATACCGCTTAAAATGGAGGCGTGCGAAGGGAAATACCGGTTATAGTGCGGTTTTCGGAACAGCCCGGCAACCGCGCCGACTGACCGACGCAGAGAGCACGCTTCCCTGTGCGACACTAGATAACGGCGCGAGCCGCAAGCGGCACTCGCGGGGCAAGGAGGTTGCTCGAAGAAGCGGGGAGAAGCGAAGAGAGAGGCTTCAGTTGCCATAGCGACGGAGGGACGCACGCACGTGTCGTTCACGTGCGTGCGTCCCTCCGCTGCGCTGGTTGGAGACAACCGCAACGACAGACCAATCGCAGGTCGAGGAGAAGTGTTTGCGCGTGTTGCATGCCGGTCGCAGGCTGGCTTCTTCTATCCGCAAACATGGCGACTCGATAACCTCGGGCGCGCGAGCCGCTCGTTAACAAATTGCTACCACGATTGACACCTCAATCGCAGCGCAAGATTAAGGGAACAAAATCCCATCTGGCCACAATTTTTTATCATTCCGGCCCAATTTTTATTTATTTATTTTATTTATTTATCTATTATTCTGGTTCGGTCCTAATTCAGCTTAACATTAGGTTTGTACAGCGGGGCTCCTTGGTGGTGCTTGGCATTGGTGTATTTTGTGACGGCCCACTACAAGGAAGATTTAAAGAAGACTCTGACTCAAGATTTAAAGAAGACTCTGACTCAACTTCTACGAGGAAGAAATGCGCTTCACCGGCCGCTCTGCTCGGCCGGGGGGGGGGGGGGAGGCTTCTTCGTGCGGCTTGCGTGGCGTGGCGGCGCGATTTTGCGGCGCGACACTGGGGCAACCACCCTTCTCCTACCTCTATCTTTCACTCCCCCTCCCCCACCCCAAAACAAAGGTGACATATTGAGCTTCCGGCTCAGCAACACTTCCTTCGATTTCCTTGCTCTCAAGACTCTGACTGACTGATGTCGGTTGTGATCGTCGACGTAGACAGCGTGGTAGCTCATTGTTCCGCGTAAAAGCGCTATCCTTGACAGTGAATTTTCGTTGTGTGTCGCTATGATAACCCAGCACATACTAGAAGGGAAGATCCATTTACTCGTGCGGCGATGTTGTGGCGGCATTCTCAAGACGGCAGAAACGCCCGTGTCGTCGTGTTTGTTTACTTTGACTACAGTGCTGCTTTCTAAGCATTTGTGTTTTCGAACATTGCCCGGATTTCTTATTCGGAGCATTTCATGCCTGTGCTCAAGTTGAAGGTATTACTGGCGCATACCGTATAAAGGATGCGAATTTTCACGCGTTTTCATCGCCGGAGAAAAGTGATTAGGGTTAGCAACCTTGAACGCTTGCAACGTCCGTCCGCAACCCGCGACGCCGTTAAAAGGCTGCGCCAGGCGAAAGTCACTCATTTCTTTCAAAATGTGTGACACACTTGAGAGAGAAGTGTACTAGTCTGGTGAAATAAAGACTTTCCTCAAACTAAGCTTTATTTTTCATCTAACATAAAATAAATTCTTTTACAAAGGTAAGTTGTCTGATGGCATGCATTTTGGCCTGAAAAATTGATGTTTTGGTTATAGCGCGGTACCGCTTATAGTTCGCGACTCCCGCAACATACGTTATATGCGGTCTACACTGTAGTGACCAATTTGCAGTACCTTGTACCAAGGTACTTTACAGCCATGCTTGTCACCATGGCGACAAAGCACCATCCGGAGCTAGCAAGAGTTGATGCCAGTTGTCGAGCTCAATGCATTGCGCCGCAAACCAGACAAACTTTAGTGAGGGCTGCTGAAATTGGGTATGTGTTTAGGCACTTTTGCTACGCTTTTGAATGGGAGGAATGTGAACAAAAACAGCTTGAAATAAAGACATATTACTGAAGTCTGGTTTTCACCATACCTAATGTTTTGGCAAGCTTTACACAAAAATCTATACTTTTTTTTTGGGGGGAAGGGGGATTTTGCAGTAACCACTTTTTATTGTAACACGGTGCTAAGCTATCAACATGCCGCCCAGGCATCTAGTCAAGTGATGACGATGATAGACAACTTTCACATCTATGAGGCTAAAGCAGCAGAAAGGCTCCACATACAATGAATGAGAAAATATGTTTTCTGGGCTAGTCCCCTCCCAACCATACAAGATGGTCGAAGTCCACACATACAGTGAAACCCGTTTAGAACGAACCCTCGTACAGCGAATTATTGCCGATATTGAACTCCCCCCCCCCCCCCCTGGGAAGGCTTCCAAAAACGCTCAAACAATCATCTTCTAGCCTGTCCCTTCCCCCAAAAAAGAAGTAGGAATAAAAAGAAAATTCCAAAAGCTCAAGTTGCAAACAAAATTGAACGAAGAGAAGCGATTCAGAAGGGGAGAAAGCTAAAAAAATACACTCTGCACGCACGCACAGAAAAAAAATAACTTTTCATTATAAAGTGTTTGCCCACGAAGAGAAGTGATTCAAAAGGGGAGACAAGCTAAAAAAAACAAGCTCTGTACACATGCAAAAAAAGAACAAACAAACTTTCCAGTTCGTTGTGAAGAAGAAGTGAAGAGATGAGAAAGAGAAGCTTTCGCCTTACAACAAACACATTGTGGAAGTTCGTTGTAAATGGTGTTTGCTATATCAAACTACTTGCTATATCGAACTGGTCGTAGCGTCTCTTGCTGTTCGTTATAAACGGGTTTGACTGTAGTACGGGTCATGCAGGAGACTCGGCAGCTACTATCTACTCGCTCACATCTTCAGGGGAAAGAGTGGTCTTGGAGCTTTTTTTCTTATTTTATGACCAAACCCAATGAAACTGCACAAGGTTGTTCAGATTTTTGTGCTGATTTGATAAATTCTGTCATTTTCTCAGTCAGTAGAATTGTCCTCAGGGTAATTAAAACTCGCCTGCCTTTGTTCAGAAGAACAATAGGGAAAAAAACTGCTCAACGAAATACCCTTAACTCATGGCTAGATATTACATGTAGAAAATACAATGTTAGAAGTACTTTTAAGATAAACCTATTATTAGTGATTTTACCACACAATGAAGTTCAATGCTCAATGCATGGCTAACAAGTAATTAAAAAGATCAAATAGAATATTTTCTAGACTTACGATTAAAAAAATCTGCTGTCAAAATTGCATGCTTCACACATTTAGCTACACATTTCAGGAAAGGTTATTTTTCTATATGCTCTTAATTCTGAGATATCCCTCCTGCAAATTTCAATGCGTCCAAAAATTGTGTTTTGTAAAAACAGTGTTTTAGAGTCAACTTCTACGAGCATTCAACTCACATGAACATTATAAATTGATTTATAGCTAATATTCAACCTCGAAATTAGAAGCCTGGTAGGTTCAGAACAACAGCTATAGAGGTCAACGTCGTCGTTTTCAAAAGAATGCAGTTTTATGAAATTTTTGGCTCAAAAGCCACACTCACAATTTACACAAAAGCCACTATCACAATTTCTTGACTATGACCATGAATAGTTTTTTTACAATAACTTAAAAGAATAGGCAATCTGGGAGATTTAGATGTAGGAAGTTATTTACTGCTTGCACATTCTAAAACAAACAAATTGCATCTTGATCAGCCGTCTCAGAATTTCATTAAAACAAACATAAAGATTTCTTTACTGTAACAAATGTAAAACATGCTACTTGTTGGCCACAAGAGTAAGATGACAAAGTGTCATCAAATACCAAAAATGCGAGCTACGCTGCGTGAATCAACATATGTCATGTAAACCAGCTTATAAAAAAAAGGAGATCAAAGACGTTTACAATTTTCTGTAATGCCAAATTGGAGTGCAGCTCTTAAGGAGGAGGAGGGGAGGGTATGCCCCCCTCCCCCTCTTCTCCTGCTACCCTCCCGTTTAGCGGAAAATTTTCTGCTAAATTGAGCGGTAACATTTCCCAACTAAATTTAGCAGGGAAACTTTTCAGCTAAACTGACATGGGACATAACGTGTGAGACTACACATCAATTTCACATGTGACCTCACGTCACGTGATGCCATTACGGGCAACGCCTTGCAAAATTTAGCAGAAAAATTTCCCGCCAAATTTCGCAAAACATTTTACCACCAAATTTAGTGGGCAATTTTTACCTTTGAGACGTCACATACGTCCCCTAATGCAACGCGCGGTTACGCTGACGGCGACGCCGCTTAACCTTGAGACGGGCGCCTAAGAGCTGTGCCTTTAAAAATGAAAAGGATACTATCTTGCAAGCAGTTCTGCCTTCTCCTCTGGTGTCAGCACCACGTGTTCAGGCACGAGCTGTAAGACAAATTGAAACCGTGAAGCAGACGAAGACATAATTGGTCTAGCATCGCAGTGATACTATTGTCATAGCATCACAGAAAGTTAAAGTAAAATTTAAAAGGGATAGGAGTAAACGTTTTAGGCTAGGCAGTGCAAGTTATTGCCCATTTTAAAGAGTGTAGCCAATACCTTCCATTTGGCCCTCCAGTAAAAGACAAAAATAAAGTCCAATACAGACATACAAATGGAAAATAAGCTCATTAACGAGTCTCAGTCCTAACAATGAGAGGGTAATAATTGAAATTCCCATGTTCACACTTCCATGCTTTTGTGACTTTGGATCAGATAGTTATGAAGCATTTCGTCGCAAGAGCTACAAATTTTGTTACCCCTTGAAAAGGCCTATACTTATATTTCACTGCATTTATAGCAGATAACTAGCGAACTCAGACACTGGCTAATTCTCCCGGTTGCCGTCTTGAGCATCTCGTTTAACTGTTTCATCAAAGCTAAGCTTTGGCCCAGAAAAACTTAGAAGGAACTGTAAACACCTTAATGTTCGCATGGTGACCTAATTTTTGCGACTTTCTCAACTTGAAAAGTATCGCAGAAAATGTACCATGCAAACATAATGCCATACGATAAAGACTACAAAGCATACCATTCTCTATCACGAAATATTCCCGAACCTCACACTTCCCAAAAGTGACAAAATATCCAGCCCACGAAAATTAAGTTGTTTACCAACAAAAACCGGATATAGTCACGTCTGACCATCCCACATCAAAGACAAACTAAATACACTTTCTCTTAGTCGCCCTTTTTCAATTCTAATAGACGACGTCGAAAGGTAGCCCAATCTGCTATGCCTCAAATATCACGGCAACAAAACAAGAACGAAGGTAGGATTAAATTTTACGCATGTACAGCCAGAGTAAAATATGGATCACCGCGAATCATTGGGACGAATTAAACGCCCCTGCCAAAGGAAAAAGAATGAGTATACCTCATGCTCTGTGATGTTGATGAGCAATTCCGACTCGAGGAAGTGTTCAAGGATGTACTTTGGTGCCATGTCACCAAGAGCCTGGGTAGAGCGTAATGAGAATTCGTGAAAAAAATAAAGAGACTGGGAAACCTAGTAATAGACGTCCGCATTAGGCGAAACAATACCTGTTTAGCAGACGGAGTCATGCCCTGCTGTACGACAATGATGGCTCGGGTAATGTTCTCCTCTTGCATGCGCTGGCAGTATGTCTTGATGGTCTTGATGCCGATCTTCGGTTCGTCCGGGAAAAACACGAACATCTGATCTGCACAGACACAAAGAAGTGAATCAAAATTTTAAAAAACAAATGCACTATTTGACGCTTGCAAGCTCCGTATGCGCTGCACATCAAGGCTTTATCAAGAATTTTTGTTCGGCTAGTATAGTATGCTGGTATCTGATCACGATTAAAGTCCCTTGATTAACGCTTTCCTAAGCGACAGTGATTGATGCGCCGACGTGCTCTCCCATTGGTCGGTGCCCACATTCCGTTTCCGGTTAGAAAGAACATGGCAAATTTGACCCGACCTCACTCTCAAGTAACGGTTTGGTATCTCGGCGTTCGGAAACCTATCTGCGTCCGCCATTGGTCCATCTGGATTGTCAAGTGACATGACCCGCCAGAGTAACTTGGAAGATTTCGAACACAGCCATGGTGGGCGAATTGGGAAATACATGGCGGACCTCACACTAGTAGAAGACACGAGCGAGAGGAGGAGGGCAGGGGAGGACTTGTCGCTACCTCACATAGTGTTATCTAGGGACATTAACCAACTAGTTGAAAGTAGCGCTTGTCTGCATCCTGTTCTTTGTGTTTGTCCGTGTTGGTTCCCTTAGCATCAAAGTTTTATACTGGGCATTCTGCAGCTAAGAATTGGCACGTTGTAGTGGCCCTTTTAAAGTTAGAAATACAATATGGTGAAAGTGGGGCACATGTCGCCTTCCATAACGCTTGCTGATGCCCGAAACAACGAAGTGTCTAGCGTTACGTCCGACGTAACCCAAGTTACGTCCAAATCTCCGCCTTCCCTAGGTTCACGGGGGAGAGAGAGGACGGCGGGGGGAGGGTTAGGTATACGCGTTTCAGTGCTCCGTCCGGACGTAACGCTAGCCACAGCGCCGAAACAAAGCTTGTCCATTGGTTGATTGTTGCCATAAAAATAACAGCTGAAAGAAACGTGCAATTCTGATAACGCACCTCCATGAACAATTTGCATTCAGCTTCGAAAACATTCACTGCCAGCGCCTAGCTTCTTTCTACAGTAATAAACGAATGCTCAGACCCACAGGTAGTTAATGAATGCTCGAACAGACCCAGGGATCTGGGTGCAACTTTTCCTCTGGCCGTTTTATCATTCATGGGATATGTTCAGGTGGTCTTACCTGTCGGATCGTCGTTGTGGGCCACAAGTACAATGAGATCGCTCCTGGCTGGTCTTCTCTCGCTGTAAGTGAAATGCTGTTAAGTGTCTACCCAAAGATCCCCAAGAGAAATGCATGATGACATGGGACGGTACCTCGGCTTATCGCCGAACTGTTGCTTGAATTGATCTTGCGTTTGATCCAACTCGTCTTGCGTGACCAAGTAGCCTCTGTCGTGGCATAACTAAAAGAACACAACGAAGAAATTGCTGTAACCGAAATAAAGAGCACCGAAACAACGAACACCCTTGCCAAGATCCCAATTTGGCAGCCATGTTTGCCCAGTACCGGCGATGTAACGGGCAAAAGAAGGTCCGCTGTCGAGGAGAGACAACAAACGTAGGGTACCTGCATGATAGTTTTGCGAATCCTCCATAACTTGTAGGTTTCCGCTTCGTCGTCCATGATTTTGCACCTTTAAAATAGCGTCGATTAAAAATATTGTCAACAAGAGCACATGCACCACCGAAACTCACACGCCGCAACGAAATAAATGCGACTTGCAACACCAGTGGCGCCGCCGGTTGTCGAGTAGGCCAACTACTGTACGCTGTTTTCTGATTTAAAGTATCAATGATGTTTTGAAACAAAAATTATTTTGAATTGGATCTAAATAATTAGCTTTTATATTTCAAACTAATGACGACGTTTTATTCTTTAACTATTATTAAAGGGCATGCCTCTAGAAAAACAATGGCTTTACTATCGTTGTAAACATCAATCAAACACACTTTCCAGTTTCTGTTTTCGTCACTATCGCACGCCGGCTCGCCTTGCCTCGCTCAAATCATGAGTTTATTGGTAAAGGTAAGGCAAGATCGGAGTCGTAAAGTGATCTTAGCGTTTCCACAATCTTTTTATCATCTAACCAATGAGACTTGTTTGCCTTTTTTTCCAGGCACTGAGGTCTCAAAGATCACTAACAAGCCTGAGACAACACACCCCGCGCTGCATCCATACATCTTCGAGAAGACTGAACCCTCTAATCCCGATTGTAATCGAACAAACTGGACGAGGCGAGCGAGCTTACGATATCTACAGTAGGCTACTCAAAGAACGGATAGTATGCGTCATGGGACCGGTACGTACTGCCTGCGTACTGCCTCCGCAAGCTACCCACTAGAGCCCACGTCTTGTGGACTAACTTGTTTCTGTGACGTCACGCCGTTTTGGAGGGCACCGCGCAAGCGCACTCGTTTTTGCTCTTGAATCGGTCTCGGTGCACGCTGATAGGTGCCCTCAAATGATGCATAATTATTTGTGAGATTTGTATGACCTAGCAATGTTTTCCTTCTGCAGATAACAGATGAACTTTCGAGCCTGGTTGTGGCTCAGTTGCTGTTCCTTCAGTCTGAAAGTAACAAGAAACCTGTTCACATGTACATAAACAGCCCAGGTATGAATTGCGTCACGTATACTTTCTTCACGCACTTGGGAACACACCAAAAAAGTTTGCCCAAACTATGGTGCCTGGAACGCGTCTCCGACTGGTGTGTTTACCGCCTCCAAAAAAGTGGTCCCTCGATTTCCGCCTAATGACGTCATAAAAGTGTCATGCTGTCGCCGATCGCGATTCTGGCGGCGTCTCAATACTTGTGGTGTATATGGCAGACGCCTGTTCTGCTGTAGGTCGCTCTCCACTGTGACAGTCCATGGAAGCTAAAGCAGCCGGAAGTTGGGACGCCTGGGATGTCGTGACAACAGCGACACTCGCGTTCGCTCGTGCTTTTCATCAGCATTTCTACGGCCAACCGCCAGGATCGCGACAGGCAACAGCATGACACTCCGGCTTCTGTGACGTCATGTGTTGCCACTTTGGGACCACTTTTGGTGTATGGGCGGGAGAGGACGCTAAACACACCAGTTGAAGACGCACTCCAGGCACCATAGCCCAAACAAATATACCGCATATAACAATGTTGAATGCATTTCAGCAGTTATCATATAGGGAGCGACTCAAGGAATGTTTGATTCATTTTCACTGTGTACACTGTACACTATATAGAAGTAAACATACACTTCTTAGAGTGCAGCTCTTAGGCGCCCGTTTCCGGGTTGAGTGGATATGTGTTTCAAGCTGGGCTGCACTTCTAGATCGAACATGCGCGCCTAAGAGAGCTTGACATATAATCATTTGCAACATTGGGGCTTATTGCAGATGAAAGAAAGAGCAGTTACAGCGTGCAGAGTAGTGTTACAGTGTAAACGAGAGATCGGTCGAACGTCGTAAGGTGGTCGAAATTAATCTCCAGTCCTCAACTGGGGCATGCTGGACGCTGTTGGTTAGTTTGGCACATAAAATCCCCAAATTGAGCTTTTTTTTTTTTAACAACATTGGGTTACCACTTGCAGGGGGCCTTGAAACATTCTGCTGGCATGTTGGGTTTTTACATAATTCAGTACAATCTCTCTTTCCCCCGACTTTCTAGCCATATTCTCAATTTTTTTCATTCCAGGTGGATCAGTGACAGCGGGACTCGGCATCTACGACACCATGCAGTACATAATGCCTCCAATCTCCACCTGGTGCATCGGTCAAGCATGCAGCGCCGGCAGTCTGCTCTTGTGCGCCGGCACGGCAGGGATGCGCCATTCTTTGCCGCACTCGAGGATCATGATACACCAGCCCTCCGGACAAGCTTCCGTGAGGGCCTTTTCCCATTGCCATTGTTTTGGTCCATTACAAATTCTTCGTTATACTAGAGCAACGAGACATTCTTACAGTGCCATCTTCTAGAACATCTGCTTTGACTGGAAATAGCGACAAAATGGGGGATGGGAGCAGATTGATTTCCTGCTGCTGAACGGGAGGGAGCGCGGCAGCATTACAATGTATCTGACCAAAGATAAACTCTATCATGTTGGCACCGCATTTCCTTGCAAAGGGCTCGGAAACGAAATGTGTGCATTTGTTACTGGTCACGGTGGGGAATGTTGGCCTGAACTGCATCGGTGTTTGCACCACGGGAAGGCAACATACTTACGGGTGCCGGCTCGTGTTTTCCGCAGGGTCAAGCGACAGACATCCAGATCCATGCAGAAGAGATCCTTCACTTGAAGCGGGTCATAAACGGAATGTATGCGAAACACACCAAGCAACCCCTCGAGACAATAGGTAAATCTACCGGCACACATAACCTTGATTTGCTTGCAGGTCGTGGCGACGCTTGTCTTTACTTTTTTCTGCTTTCTCTGCAGAGAGCGCGATGGAGCGGGACCGCTTCATGAGTGCAGAGCAGGCGAAGGAGTTTGGTATCATCGACGTCGTCTTGGAACATCCGCCAACGTTCGAAGTTCCAGAATTGGGGAACTAACAAGCATGTCGTGAGCAGTGCTATGTCGCCTGGAGCGCCTTTTGTACCTCCCCCGAAACGTTAAAGTTGCCGAAGGGGCAAAAAAATAAATAAGCTGGCAGTTTCTCTGGTCAACATTGTTACGGACCGCAGAGACGTTCGGCTTGTTCTAATGGAGCTTTATTCTTTCCAAAGAAAAAGGCAACAATTCCGCAGCTTGTAAAAAGGAGGTGTGTAGACAAATTACGGCAGTACACACACACCTCCGTACGCGGCGCGGCGATTGTGACAAAGCGGGACAGACGTGCATGGGTGAGGACACATGAAAGGTTGTGTGTCTTGAAGGTGGGATTGCTGGAACTTAGGTAAAATAAAACATCTTGAAACAAAAACGATAACAACGATAAAATGTGCCCTGTCACCGAAGCATATTGGAACCGGAAACGAAGAGAATGAAATTGGACCGTTCAGAGTTTAGAAGCTCTTAAAAAAAACACTCTTCCATAACGTGTCATATCGTCATTAAAGTACTGTCGTGTAAACCATCTTTCTAAAGAAACTCGTCACCTATAATTACTATTTGAAAGTGAAGTTACAAAATCTTTTTTGCAACTTTCGGTATCCATACGTGGACTGCAATTTGGCAGCTCCCTCCACAATTTTTCGTGAAGGTCCGCAACCTCTCTTTTAAAATTGGTGCAAGGTCTAGTCACTTCGGCCTATCGTCGCCTGCTTTGCGACGCCGATGGAAAGTAATAAGGGCCTCCTAGTCCACATACCAACAAATCTCCATACCAGATCTTGCTTACAAACATTCGGTTTTTTAACCTTACCCATCGACCTGCGGTTACTACCTGCAAGAAACGTCTAACTTATTCAGGTGTTTTCTGAAATTGGTGTGCGATTCGGGGGTCCGAAAGAATCGGGCTAGACGAAGAAGTGAAAGCTGGGCTGCGGCCCCAAAGAAAAGCTTGACACCGAGAGTGGCTCTAGCCGGTCTTTGCCTCGCTGGGAGCGTACCGTTCAAACACTTTGCGTCTTGCCCTACTGAGTCATGAACTTGGCACGGAAGGATGTTGGCAGAGTTGGCAAAGAGGCGGGCAGGGAATAGAGGTACCTAGACAGAGAGTTGGCAAGGAACAGTTGGGGAGCGGAGGTACCTAGATCGAGAAGTTGGCTACGCTTTCAAAGCTGTGAGCTCTCATCTAAATGCCTTTTCCACTAGCTGAGCAGTCGGCCATTTGACGACCGATGCAAATGCACTGTGTCAGCCCCTCGGGGCTCAAACAAAAAAGCGATAGAGACGACGGTCAGGAAAAAGCGTTTTGTAAAAACCGGTTCGAGAACGGACAACAACATTCTCTCGGTCTGATCTGAAAACATTCCTCACCTGGTTAAAGTAACAGCTAGACATTGCAGTCCGAAAATGAAATAAGATTGCGCTCGTCAGTACAGTGAGCGATAGTCGGCAACGGCAATGGTACGCACGAAACAACATTAAAATATGGAATGCATCTGCACAACCCAGGAACACGGCGGTAATAACAATGGTATATAAAGCGGTCACTCTGGCGTCAACAAACTGCTGGGGGACAACGTGTCACAGCATCGGTGCTGAAGTGACCACGGTACATTCGGGGCAATAAACATGTGCAGTATGTTGGATACGAAGAGCCTACTAACTGTACTAATTTTACTCTCTGCTTCATGCGCGGTGCTTAATGTTCAACCCTTCATATAACCAACTTTGAAACTCCGAGCGTTCTATCATTGGCATACAGCTATAGATCGGACTGTTTGGACTCGCGTCATGGTTTGTCACTTGACTACCTCATGACTAGGTAAAGCTAATATAAATAAATGCAACATAAGTAGGACTCTTGTGTCGGAGCAACATTCTCAAATGCTCAGTCACGCGAAAAAAAAAAAAAAGAGGTCACACACGCTACCACAGTTGATACAAAATTAACCTGTACCAAAGCCTAAAGATGTCTTTGAGAAAACGCTGCAAAAAAAGCTGTGCAGAATGCGTGGGAAACATGCATCCAATGCTGTGCGAGACGTCTCAACTCCGTATTTTGTGGTGCGTGGTCTTGCAAATCGCGTGGGAATCGTAAAGAAGATTGGCAAAGAGACTGAGCGAAAAGCAGCAATGACGACGAGCAGCCGGAGAGATGGTCTTAGACGGAAAGCGGCAGGCTGAGTTGCGTGACCCTCCACACCCAATCTTGGGTCACGTGTCGGAGTTGTGCTCCGAGTCGTTCAAATCTTCCAGGCGTTTCTCATCATCAGATCAAAGTAGGTGTCGCTGTCGATAGAGGCGCTCACGCCGGCATAGTAGTTGATGAACTCCTCCAGGGTCACCTGTAACGAGCCAAGGTGGAACTGTTAGCTGGTTCTCAGCCAAGTTAATAGCCGTGGCTCGAGCTTATCGTTCGGCTAAACCGTGGTTCAGCCGATCGTTCGGTTGAACCACGGCAATGGATCAGCCTGGAGCTCTGAGATACCAGCCAATCTGTCCGATTAATTTTCCTATTTCAATGTTGTCATTATCTAATCGATGATGTTGTCATTATCTAAGCGATGATATAATCGACGACCAGTGCCAGAAGCTTGATCTTGGTCCGAAATGCAGATAGAAGGCAAAGACTAAAGGAATTGATCATGGAAGGGAATTTAAAACGAACACGCCTGATAGTCTGTTGTAGGTTAAGGAAAGCAGAACAAGTTCACCCCCAAATCCCTTCACTCTTACCACTTTAGCAGAGCAAACATTGGAACGGAGGAAACCTATGGCGAGCAGCTTCAAGGGGGAGGGGAAGAGGAGATTCTTGTCATGCTATTTTACATTTGCAACAGACTATTGCAACTTTCATTGCATTACTACACACTGGTTTACAGCTCTAACGTCCAGGAGAATAAACAGACCTCCGGATTGCTTCTGCATTGTCATGTACAGAAAGGGACAAATGGTGCATTGTTATGCACAGAGAGAGGGACGAATGACAGGACAATGCGGCAGCACTTGTTCCTGGCGAAAGAAAATGACGCCTTATCTCTCACTCAAAAAAGATTCGGCCTTTCTTTTCTAAAACCAACATCTTGAAATGCTTGTTTTCTTTTGTTTTTCATGCACCACTCGGTGCTGGAACGAGTTCCTAGGGGATCTGGTCTTAGAAGAAAAGAACTCGCAATGTTTTCATTCTTCGGTCTCTTAACACCCCACGTGTACCGTAAAATCTCGAGCGAACGCCGACTCAAAATTTTGAGAGAATTGCGTAAAAATGGGGGTCAGAAATGTTAAAGATATGTCCTTTGTGCATTTTCTAAATGTTACAAAATGGACGGCTGGGAGTGCTTATTGTGGGATGGGCGGATGCTCCATACTTTACTGTAATCAATTTTTTGTATCATTGATTTAGCGCACAAGCACATATTATGGTTAAGGGGTTTAAATTATCTTTGAATTTGGGGACATCTCTTTAGGGGTTTATCTCTTCCCGCGAGTTCGGCGTTTCTCGGCATCAATCTTTGGTGCCTGACAATAAGATGAGGGTTTGTTCGGGCTCGTGTCAAGTAAAATGGGGCATGAGTACGGGTTTCCCCAACCTTCGGGGGACATGCGCATGACTCAAACACTCCTCAAACGTCAAAACGTCCCCGCATACCTAAGGAACAAAATGAGGTGTCCAGTTCCAAAGAAAGAAGCAGCTTTGTGGACGGCTCAGGGGGGGGGGATGTGTTTTGAGTCATGCAAAATAAAGCCGTAGATAAAGGTTTTCTTCCCGTAAAGCATTCAGGGTCGGCTCCAATTAGGGACTTTTCAGCATTCCCCAATTTCGATAAAGCCATCTTCGGGGGTCGGTTTACGGGGTTCATTGGTATTCACCAAAAACACTGAACCCTAGTTATTGTACGCTGGTTCTTCCAAGATCTGTGTTTTGCCGTGGGCAGCGCGCGCCTTCCTCAATGTGCTATGGCGTCGTTTGCTTGTTTGTCCCTCTGCCGTTATAACGACCTCACGGGTGCTGTGGGGTAAATAAATACTACCTTTCCGTCGGGGTCGTTGGGGCTGTCAAAGTTCTTGAGGAAGAGCAGGAAGACCTGGTCCTCGGTGAGCTCCCCGTTCTGGTATTTGGGGTGCTGGCGGGCGTTGTACACCCCCTTGAGGTCGTGAATTGTGATCACCCCGTCGCCCGACTTGTCCATCTTCTTGAACGCCTGGTTGATCTTCTCCATCCGACTGGCCGACATGGGGGGCTGCGCAACACCGCATATTTTATTAATTTCTGTTGGCACGGTGCGAATTTGGGACGTGCCAAAGAAGCTGCGTTCCCTAGAGCCAGCGAACAAGCTAAGCTTCCAAGCAACAACACTTTTGCCATCTTGGTGCTCAAAATCATGGTTGCCAGTTATCTGAAATTGCAGGAAATGCTTTTCTGTTCTTCGGGAATTCTAAAACAATCGACGACGGAGCGAAAGATGACATTGTCTGAGCTTCCCGATGTCATATCCAAATGTCAAGAAGTTGCATTTACTGATGGCAATGCGCAAAGCACCAAAATGGCGGCGCTGAGATGTGCCCACTCTGCACAAAGCACCAAAATGGTGGCGCCCACAAGATATTCGGGGGATGCAATGCCGATACTCGAAGTGCAGCTTATTTAGTAGCTCTAGTGTGCCCCCTACCCATGCTATGCTGCCACTTCCAGCTCCTCTGGCTTTGCTTGCTCCTTTCCATAGTATTATAAATTAAGTGAATGCCAAGGTGCTGAAAAATGCACGCAGGCTTGTGCTCTGGAATTGAAAAGTACCATCGGACAGCGGTGCTAGAAACTTCAGCCAGCTATTTTTATTTTTAAGCGGATGGCTAAGTTCGTCAAATAACAGCTATTTTTAGAAAGAAATGTTTGGTGTTTGGTGACATGGGGAAATATAATGTAAAAAAAATAGATCTGGGCAACGCTTCAACCGTGAAGTCCTGCAGAGCCGCCCCCTCCCACCAAGCCTGGGCCATAAAGCTGCTGCTGGCTATACACCAACATGCGACATAATCTAACTTCACGCGGACTTGTTTGTGGGCGGGATCAAATCCGTTTGATCGACACACAAAAGGGGGCTTGCTTGACTTCCGTGTGCCAATATATTGGTCCCCTTTTCATTTGAACATGACATGATTTTAGCATGGAGGAGTGCACATTGGATCGGGAGAGCCATATGTGCACTGTGACCACAGTGGACCCTAGCACAGCAAATATTAACCGCAAAAAGCAGCACGTGCCCATAGAAAGCTTAACATTTGCCCGAGTGTGCATTTAGACAGTGAATCTTGCCTCATGAAATTTCAAGGCATAGTTCTCTTTTTGTGAAAATGAGGCGCCAACAAACCCGCCAGGGTCGACGGCGGACGTGTTCTCAGACGACCGAGTTAGCGATAGCCGTAACTTGTGGCGCCATCTCTCGATGGGTGCAGCGAGCAGACGACGCGCTTTGTTGTCTGCTCGCTGTGCCTATCGGGAGGTGGCGCCACATGTCTGCCGTTGACCGTGGGCAGGTCTCATTTTTCACAGGAAGAGAACTAGCCCTAGTACTTCATGAGGTAAAGTCCACCGCCTGAGTGCATGTTCGGTGAGAGTTCGAGCTTTCTGTGCAGGTGCCGTTTTTTACTGTTTGTTTGCAGTGCTATGATCTATTAGCGACCACCCTACACACGGCCGTACTAAAGGAGTGGTACATGACTTTTGCAACCCTCAGTTTGATGGTGTCTTTTCTACCGTTACTCCTGTCACCGACCACGCACTGCAGAAGAAACTAACAATGCACAGGCCGTCGCCCCAACGACCACTACCAAGGTGTCGGGGAAAAGAGATGCCCACCCTGAGTGCCTGGAGGAACTCGTTGAAGGAGAGCGTCCCATTGCCGTCCTTGTCCAAGGCCTTGAAGAGAGCGTCGATCTCAGCAGGACTCAGGTACACCTTGAAGTCCTGGAGGCCCTTCTTGAACTCTTCCATGTCGAGCTTCTTGTCTCCGGAATCGTCCATGATGCGGAATTGTCTGCCCCACGAGCGTGCACAAAGCCATCAGTGATACGAAGATAGGACAACGCATTGCTGGTGATTGTACAGTGCTTACCAAACTTGTAGAGAACACGAAAACTGCAATTTTTCTCGTGGCACCGCTATCCTGGAGGAAGTTGAATGATGGCTCCGTAGCACTTCAGGATGGTCTGTCAAGTGGTATATACTACGAAACCATTGCTTAGCTGCCACCAGGATAGCGATCATATGAGAAAAGACACAGTTTGTGCGTTTTATAGTCTTGTCTTGTTAATACAAACCCCGTTAATACATACTCTGGCAAACTGGGTGAATACACACATTTTTGTCTCCTTGCTATAGGCGACTCGATCGACTTTTGGAGGGAAGTAGAGGTTAATGAGACATATGAGCACTGTATGTCTAAATGGTGCCCATATTTTCTCCAAAAACTAAACAGGTATATGACTATCAGGCATGTAGCCAGGATTTTGGTTTGGGGGGGGGGGGGGGGGGGGGGGGGCATGACAAAATGCTGTATGAGAAGGAGGGGGAAGAGGAGGTCCCAGCAAAATGAAAAATTTCGGGGGGGGGGGGGGGGGGGGGCATGGGCCTCCCCCCCATGGCTACGTGCCTGGTGACTATATATCTTTTACAACAATCTGAGTAAACTTTTTTTTTTTTCTAGTCAAGCCCTACACAGTATATTTTGCACAGTTTTGCAGAACTGAAAGCACAAAAACGCAGCCACAGTAAGAATATTAACATCACCAGGCTATCTTGACCATATTTTGGATATTATAAGTGAATATTGTAATTCTTACTATGTAAAATTAATAATAGAAAAGTACCCAACACAGGTTATAACACAAGAATAAACCTGCAAGCTTTATATTTTCTCGAGTAGTGCTGACTTTCGCTAATAAAGAGTATTAGTTTTAGCAGATCGTTTTTTCGCCCCGATAACGATACCTCCTCTCCCCTCCGGCGGCTTTGGGCATGCGTCTTATCGTTATCGGGTGTCGGTATCGGGGCGAAAAAACGATCTACTAAAACTTTCTAATATTATTATTACTATTCTTCTTCTTCTTCTTCTTCTTCTTATTATTATTTTTGTTCCTTCCGGCGTTTTTAGACATTACTTCACATACGCAGCTTTTTATCTACATGAAATATTGCTCCGCAATTTTTAAAAGAAACGTATATGAAAGCCCAAACTGAAGTTGACTCTTACTGCCCGCGAAAAATATGTCGCACGTAGAGAATCCACGTTACCTGGCAAATCCTTTGATGCCATGGGCGCCTCGCTGCAGGCACTGGTGTCTTAGCTTATCAATTGGCGAAGTCATTTTTATCTTCAATCTGGGGCAGCAAGAAATGGAGGAGAAACACGTTACAAAACCACAACAGCGCTTTTTTTTTTTTTTAATTTTTGGCACTTGTTTGCTGAGTTAAGGAGAAAGCAGATGTCGAACATCGTGAGTGCTTGCTGGGCTGGCTGAATCATTAGCAGACAATGCAATGAATCAATGTCGATTCTTAATAGCAGACGACAGGTGCTGCGTCTTTCCTTGAAAACGAAACTAGAACGCTTTCTGTTTCTTTTTCTTCAAGAACGCGCCCACAGGAAACGGGCCCCCACGCCGGTACCCAGTACTTAGGAGAAAATTGGCTGACCCCGATATGCAATCAAGAAAAGGAACTGCCGCACGTAAACGAACGACTCTACGACAATTTCGAACGCTCAAACAGTGCGTCAGAGTATTGCAACATTCGGTGCAAACGTTTGAAAAATATCAACGCGTTCAAAACGGTTCAGCACGAGCTGATAACGGGCGTCTTCGACGTCCGATGCCGCCAACGCGGTCTCCTAGGTGCCATACTAAAGGGTGGAGACTGGAGACGTTGGAAACTTCTCGTTGATGCGTCGGAATCACTCGATTTGTGCCGCGTATGGACTGGATTACGCGTGATAAGTGAGCCGTTCTTGAAAGCGCTTAATTAAGTTCCAAGGGAACGAAAAATCAGCAGTATTGTCGTACCTGCGAGACCGGTGCGATCGCCGAGAGAGCCGAGTAGGAGCGGTTGATCGACGCTTGCCTCGCCTCCGCACTGCAGACGAAAAATTACAAGCGCAAAAGTTCGGGCGCCGTCTGCGTACAAGCAGACGCGCAGTGGAGCTTGGCGAAAAAAAGGCGTCGGAGCGTAGCAACAGCAGCTAAAATCACTACAGCTGACATTCAAAAATTATTTATTAACTCAATTCAGCGTTTACTGACATAATAAAATTATCTGTGTCAGCCGACGTCGCCAAACGGCCAGACAGAAAAATATATTTTGAAACTACAGTCAGTTTTGTCTGACTCGTCACTAGCGCCACCAATTCACGCTCCGGCTCTGAATTGAACTCTCACCGTAGCAACAGGCCCAAGCGTCGTTGTCGGTCGCACACGTGAGTTTTTCGTTTCGCTCCTCTCGTTAGGACTAGATTTTCTCAAACATCATCGTTAAACGCGTGTTGCATCAGACAGTTTGCAAATTCGGATCCCGTCAACATGGCCCAGCAGTTCAAAGACATGGCCAGCAAGCTAGGCAAAGGCGGCAGCCCCAAGGGGCTAGGCCTAGGCATCAAACTGGTCGCGGCCGCTGCCGGCCTTGGCTACGCGGTCACCCAATCCGTCTTCACCGTGGACGGTGGCCACCGGGCAATTATCTTCAACCGCATCGGCGGCATCCAAAAGGACGTCTTCGCCGAGGGCTTACACTTCCGAATCCCGTGGATCCAGTACCCCATCATCTACGACATCAGGTCCCGGCCGAGGAAGATTTCGTCCCCCACGGGTAGCAAGGACCTTCAGATGGTCAACATCTCGCTCCGTGTCTTGGCCCGCCCGGACGCGATCATGCTTCCAACAGTCTACCGCATGCTGGGCACCGATTACGACGAGCGGGTGCTGCCGTCCATCTGCAACGAAGTCCTGAAGAGCGTCGTGGCCAAGTTCAACGCGTCGCAGCTCATCACGCAGCGCCAGCAGGTGTCTCTCCTTGTCCGTAGGGAGTTGACAGAGCGCGCCCGTGACTTCAACATCATCCTGGACGATGTGTCCATCACTGAGCTCAGTTTTGGCAAGGAGTACGCGGCAGCCGTGGAGGCTAAGCAGGTCGCTCAGCAAGAGGCTCAGCGCGCCATGTTCACCGTGGAGCAAGCGGTCCAGGAAAGGCAGCAGAAGATCGTTCATTCAGAGGGTGAGGCCCAGGCAGCCAAGATGCTGGGGGAGGCCATCTCCAAGAATCCGGGGTACCTCAAGCTCCGCAAGATCAGGGCGGCTCAAAACATCGCCAGGACGATCGCGGCCTCCCAGAACAGGGTCTACCTGAACGCCAACTCACTGATGCTGAACATTGCTGACAAAGAGTTCGACATTACCGGTATCTCGCATTCGCAATACAAGAAGTAGGCTTTGGGGGCAACGTCTTTGGGATACAAAGAGAGTGTAGTTAGATGTTGCCTTTAAAGTTGAACAGACGGATGCATGGAGCCCCTTTTGATATGTCTTTGTTGTACCATACCAGTTCTAGGAGGTGTTGTCGCTAATGGTCCAAATGCGCTGAAGAGCACACGTTGAAGGGTGGACAGGTGGGAATAGTGGAAACTGTGGTACATTTCCCATTTATCAGTTAGCATTGTTACAATAAACATTTTCTCTATTATAATGTTTGGTGTGGTCAGTCGACAAGTTTGGCCAAGATTTCATGGGCTATGCAACTTTTTGAAAGGGTTGCAACATTCAAAAAAGTTGCATGGCAAGAGTGTGTTTTAAGAAGATATGAAATTTGTACCACATAACATCTTATTTAAAAAAAAAAAAAAACATTTAGAAAACTAAGTTTAGAAACACTTTTATGACTTCTTTCACATTGAGTAAGTTGTCTAAAATTATCAACCTCTTGACATTAATATTGGTGGAACAAAATAAGAAGCCCGTGCCAATATTTACTTGTTAGTTGTCTAATTATACTTCGCTTCAGCTTAAATCCAGACGCTACGAGCTAATGGTACCAACCAAGCAGTGTCAAAAGTGCAAGTCACTGGGCCTTGTCTGTTCACGATTGGTTCCGCGCTAATAGAACATGTACAGAAACATGAGGAACACCAAAGGGTGCACTTTTGACGCTGTCTTATTGGTCCCATCAGCTCGTAGCATCTGGACTTTAAACAAAATATAAGTAGTTAACCTGTAGCTATAATAACCTACCTTGGAACCCTTTAAGAAGATAATATGTTAGCAACCCTACTTTTGAATGTATTTTTTTTAATTTGTTTTTTTAAATTAAAAACCTCTTTGTATAGCCAGGGTGGAGAATAAAAATCAAGACAATTCAAATCTTGATTTAGGTCGGACCAGTTTTACTATGTTCTAAACGCTACCTTTCCCTATAAAATAATCACGAAAATATTTTTTTATGCACTGTTTGTATATCATTTGGTGCTTTCTATGTGAATTCGTTTTATATTTAAATGAAAGAGTTGGGAAGGTTGATATGTCTGTCCGAACACGAGTAAAGAACAATGCTCTCTTGAGCAAATCAGAGCTTTGAGCTCCCTTTTTACCTTACACCTCATTCGTCAGTTACATAACATCCTATTGCAAGCAAATCAGAATGTGAAATAAAATGCAAATCAAGCTTTTTAACTAGCTAAAACATCAACTTTTTTTTTGGTATGGTTGGGGGTTTACAGCAATAAAAAGTTGCTAACTACTTTAGATTACAGTAACTCTTTGCATACACGGCTTGCACTCACGTGTAGAGGAGGCTATGGTAGATGGCAAACTTTTGACCACCATGTAGGAGGAGGAGAGGGAAGCTGCTTTTGTGAGAATTTTGAGTGACGGGTTAATCTTTAATCTTCTGGGAGGAGAATAGCGACGGGTCTGTGCGAATCTGGGAGGCGCAAAAGAGGATCCTGATAAGAGGGGAGCTCCTACTCTGGTGGTCATCGGAGCGATCTTTGAATGACCTCACGTGCAAACCATGTATTGTTTTTAGTGATCGGACGGGTTGATAAATCAATCTGCCATGTTTAAAAATTCATCTACACTTGTACTCATCTCAATCAATGTTCTTGGGGTTCAAGAACACATATATATATGTAGGTGCGTCTACGATTTGCTTGGTTATTTTATCAAGACACACACATTCCAAATGCCAAAAGCAATGTTTTCTTTCGACAACCAAATCTTGTAAGAACTACTTTATGCGGCGCATGAATAAGGTGCACACCTTACTTTTTGATTGATGTGACGAGCATAGTGACAATTACTAGCTATATAGCTATATAGGGATTTAAATCAAATTAATCTGATTTAACTGAGATACATCTGATTTATTTAAATTTTTTAAGTTATGATTTTTTGTTTTTTTCACCTTGTTTGTAGCCATTCAAGATGCCCACCATGTGACTGGTCAAGAACGAAGTGGAAACTCCTCCCACCTCTTTCCATTTCAGCGGAGGGAACGGTGGAGAGGAGGTCGCCTCTTCTCCAGCATTCGCTCTCCTAAAGTGGAAAGAGGTGGGAAAAGCTTCTACTTCGTTCTTGACACCATAAAGACAGACTTTTTTTTTTTTTTTTGGGGGGGGGGGGGGGGGGGGGGAGTTAGGTTAAAATAGCTACAAGTTGGACCTTATATAGAATAAAAATTCTGCTCAAAACTACATGCATGAAAACAATCTGAGAAGATGCAAAATGGGTTCAACCAGCTCATAAATAAACCAAAGCTGCCCAAAGCAAGGGCGAGGGAAAGGAATGCTGGAGAGGGGGGATGTTTCCTCGTCTCCTCTCCAGCATTCCATCTGCTTCCTCCTCCCCAGCCAGCCTTCCTTTTCCGTCGCCCTGGGTTCTTATCTGGTCTCAATGGCAACCCACGTTGGGTTTATAGACCCTTTCAGGCAACATTTCATGGGCGCCGCCATCTTGACGTCACGTGACCCTGCCGCCATAGCCGCCCTTCAGTTTCTCGCCGTTCCTCCGCGTTGTGTGCTGCACCGGCCACTACCGGAGCTTTGTTTTCGCGTTCTTTTACGTTCCCCGTTGAAATCGTCTGTTTTCTTTAGGTCTTTTCGATATTTCGGGCTTTCATTTATTCATTTGATGTCTATATTTCAACATAGCTCTTGAATTTTCTTATTCATCAAATGGAATCGGACAGCGAATTGATCGACGATACAAGATTATGGCTTCAGAAACCATGTAAGTTCATCGCATTCTAACGTTTTTCTCGCTAATAAAGGGCAGTCAACACCATCGCGACATATGCAAATTTCAACTGACGCAGAAAGGCTATCCAGTCGTGCTGCTTGCTGCGTGTGCGCGCTCGTTTCCGTAAAGCCGACCCGCATGTAAGCGATTTAGCCTGCGACGAGACGAGCGACGGCGACGGCGACAACGACGACAGTCAGCGATGAAGATTTCTCACTGTCGCCTGTTACATCGCTTGGTTCTTTGGGTTTCGTAGCTCACCGTCTTGGTCGCTTGCTCCCGTCGCTTTCATGCGGTTTGCCTCGTCGCGCGACTGCCCGAGCAACAGCGAAGCGGGTCACCGTCGCTTGTCTCGTTGCTCGCCGAATCACATGCTTTCGGTTTATACTTAATATCGAGGCGCCGATGGTTCAATACTGTGTGCATCGAAATTAATTGAGTATAAACCGCATGTAAGCGATTTGGCGAGCGACCAGATAAGCGACGGCAACCCGCTTCGCTGTCGCTCAGTCAGTCGCACGACGAGGCAAACCGCATGGAAGCGACGGAGCAAGCGACCAAGACGGTGAGCGACGTTTTCTAGAAATCCAAAAACTGAGCGATGCGACGGGCGACAGTGAGAAATCTCCGTTGCTCGTCTCGTCGCACGCTAAATCGCTTACATGCGGGTCGGCTTCACGGAAACGAGCGCGCACATGCAGCGAGAAGCACGACTGTGATAGCCTTACTGCGTCAGTTGCAATTTACATATGTCGCAATAGTGTTACCGCCCTTTATTAGCGACAAAAACGTAAGAATGGCATGAACTTACATGGTCATTGAAGCCTCATAATCTTGTATCGTCGATCCATTCGCTGTCCGATTCCATTCCATAAATAAGAAAATACAAGAGCTATGTCGAAATATAAATATCGAATGATTAAATGAAAGTCCTAAATATCGAAAAGACCTAAAGAAAATACAAGATTTCAACGCGAAACGCAAAAGAACACGAAAACGAAGCTCTTGTAGTGGCCTTTGCAGCCTTGTTTGCAGCACACAACGCGGAGCAACGGCGAGAAACTGAAGGTCGGCTATGGCGGCCCGGAAAGCGCGCGAAGGGCGCGCCGACTGGTGGCAGCTCGAGTAACTGACTCGCTGAAAGCGTCTATATTTATACAGCCCAGACTTGCGCCTATCTCAAATACTCAAGATACTGTGTTTCAACTACCTTTTGAAGTATCCTGGTATCTTGCAAATACGTTTGATCGAGAGTATTTGATACTCTATTCTAATTACAATTCCGAGTATCTTGTACTCATTATGTCAAATACATTTTTGACATTCCGCCATTTTCCAAGTTTTTCGGTATGAAGCGTCGTGGGCGTGGCACGAGCAAACGTGAACATTCTTTCGAGCAACCAAATCCTGTTGCTAGCTCCGATTAGCTGCGGTGACTTTGAGTGAGCTTGTGAAAACATCGTTTTCTTTTTTTGCCGATTGTGACTCATATTTCAGCCCAAAGTTCGTACAATGAATGTTTTCCCTCACCTTCCCAAAAACGCGTTTTGTTTCCATATAGTGTTCCCTCAAAAAATCCTCAAAACAAAAAATGTGGTTCTACGGAAGTAAAGATGCCACCCTGAGGCGCAATACGGACCAGGAAACGACCCACGAGAACAATGCAGACTTGAGTGTGAAGAAAATTACAAATAGAAGAAAATAAGAAGTGGACACACACAAACAAAAAAAAAAATCTTTTTGTTTTGCTTTTTGTAGATTTGACCCCTCTAGAGCAAAACGTCAAGGTTTTCTTTGGTTTCTTTTATTTTTGTCGTCAGTCCGTCGCCTATTGCTCTCGCGAACACGGTCTGCAAACGAACATTGATGAGCAAAAAACAGTGCAGGAAACGAACTATACTCGCGGTCAGCTTTCTGTGGCAATGCAGTCAATGCTAGGGGAAAGGGTGCACCAACCGTTGTACAAGCGCTTTCCTCCTCTGTTCGGATTGTTACAGAAAGCTGACCCCCAAAGTTGAATGCCTTCCTTTCTAAATGCAACCTACTTGGAGAAGGTGGGACCACTGCCGTGGCTATTATGTGAGTTCTCTTTGTTATTCATTCACTCATATCCGTATCCCAAGTTCGTTTATAGTGAACTCCCCATATAGTGAATATGGATTGTAATTAAACGATGCGTCTAAGGTGCGCGGCAGGACGTGATATTCAGCGATGTCACTATTGGCGAGGCGCTCTGACGCGTTTGTCACCCCCAGACCTCGGTGTTTACCCAACACAAGGCCTGTGCACATGCCCACAAGCCTTGTGGGCATGTGCACAGGCCCATAAGGCCTTGGCTTTTGTGCTGAGCTGTGCACCGTGCATGCTGCATTGTTTATGCAGGCTGGAGTGATAACAAAAGGGTCCCTCCTCCCCCTCACCGGAGAACACGAACTCCAGCCGAACGCTGACGCC